ATATATAATAGTTGTTCACATTTCAAACTATTCAGCTCATGGTGGCTGTGTTGATATTTGGTTTAATGTTTTATCAAAATATTTACAATAAACAAAATATTTTCCTCTCACAAATATATTGAGCTACTTTTTGCTATAGATTTTAGCTCGTATTTTGTTCTTATCAGCTACCCTTTTCGTAGCCTTTAGCTACTTTATAGCCTTTTTAGCTAAACGTTTTGCTGCTTTTAGTTTGCATTTTGAAACCTTAACAAAAAGTCAACAGTAGCAAAATTATAACTAAAAGCTAATATGCTAAATACTAGCAAAAGGCTAAATGTAGCAAACAGATGGCTAAAAGTTGCAGTAACAAAACACTAAAAAAACAAAGCTGAAAGTGAATGTTTTGCATCTTTACATTCCTCTGAAAAATGTAGCAGTCATTCAGCAGCCTCATTTGTTTTCACAGAAAATACAATTTCTCTACTTCTGTTTAAGCCTTTAATGAATTTCCTGTTAGTAAAACAAGATTTATTGTTTTATTGTTAAATAAAGAGGCAGTGCAGTTTGTTTAACTTCACACCTTTAAAGTGACAGACACATCAGCTCTTGCCTTAAGCTGTTCAAACATAAACGTGTCTGTAACTTGGTCATTTGTACAGATACTGAGCTAAAGTTTGGTGTGATAGTAGCTGAGCACATACTTTGAGCTCTAATGGATCAAGTGACCTCTTTCATTTAAACTTTCATACGTTCCTGTTTCTCCTAATATAGACCATTCAACCAGAGTTGATCTAATACAGTAAACCGGTTGTTTACCGAGCAATGATACCTTTCCTTCGTGTGCACCGTAGTTCCACCTGTATCATATTCACCCAATGAATATCTTGTGTAAAACAAGTTTTTATTTCAGAGTTTCAATGTTTGCTCTCAACAAGGTTTAAAGTTGATAATCAGATGTTTAAAATGTTCACAAAGACCTGAGCTCAACTTCCCACCTGCTGCCCTGTGATGAAGTTATAATTCGAGCTGCATGCACCAAAGGATAGCCTTTTACTTATACTGTAATTTATCTGATTTTTTTTTGTTTATCATGAGCTCAGAAAAGGCTGAAGGGCTTTTGTTTCTGCATTCTTAGCCACAAATCCCATGTTTGTCACCCTGCACCTTTTAAAACCTGTCATTTATAGATTTTCTCATCAGTTGTTTCCCTTTATATCTTAGATATGAGGAGCTACAGGTCAAACAAAGACTTTCTTTCTACTGTTTGTCCTTCAGCAGATTTCCTGTGCAACTTCTGTAGTAAATCTGATGACATTATCCTCCTCCTGCAGATACAGGAGTTCTTTGACACTCGTGAAAAAAATAACTTTTTTTGTGAATGCAGTTGTGTGGCCTCTCAGTTAAAAAAAAGCTATATCATATAAAATTGTTGTCACAACCTGTAAAAAACATAGCTGGTGCAATATTACTTGGTTTATAGCTGTGATGTTTTAAAGCTAAATAACAGACTGCATATATTTATTTGTATCATCCAATTGTTTGAAATCAGTAAGCAGAAAGTTGTTTTTTTGTTTTGTGCAATATTGAGCACTGAGTGTGCAGCATCAATATGCTGTCAGTGACTTCTACAACAAGCTATGATTCAAACACCATAAGACTGCAGTGTACTTTAATTATTATGGGCTCAGAGAGGAACAGACTGCCTCCATGTGCTGCTGCATATGAACCACAGGATATTAATCAATAACTCACATAGCCCAAATTGTTGTTTCATTACAAAGTTCTTGTTTGTGAAGAAGTGCGTTTGTCCTCAGGTGGTTTTATTTTTCTGTAATGTAGGCACATCTATCACGACATGTGCGCAGGATCCCGTCTCTGTTTATCCGGCTTTGCGCACATGCATGTGTCAAAACAGGCCATGAGTAACACAGCCCAGGGCCAACAGTGTCTCTGTAGAGCACTCAGTGAAACACACACATACAAACACACACACACACACATGAGCAACGTGAAGTGACTTCACTCTTCACTTAACCCAAACTGTGACACAGGGGGCAATTAACATTTGGGAATACAGACTCAGTTGCACATGTGTTCAAATACACACACACACACACACACACACACACACACACACACACACACACACACAACGACAAACACTCAAGACATGCGTGCCAAATCACAAGCTTATATAGATAATATATGAGTGCCAGCTGAGAGGAGAGCCTCCCGGTGTGCTGTCTCCACTAAACCGTGTWTTATTTAGCGTTCAGTGGAGCGTGAAATTTTTCATATACCTCAAAGAAAAAGCAATCTTCCCATGCAAGARGTGAGCAAACATGGCTGAGAAATTGTAAGAAAGTTGAACAAAATAGAAAGGTGGGCAGCAGCCATGTTGCATTATCTCTGATGTGCTTCAGTTTTTTTTTCTTCTTTTCTTTTCTGCCATTACTTCAGTTTGCAAACTCCTCTTGGAAGTGTTGCAAATTCAGGCAAAGCTATGGAGCAGTTAGTTACACCTGTAGCTTTTTATTATTTTAATACTTGCAGCTAAAACGACAATAAAAGTGTAGTGATAAAGATCAGCAACCAGGATCAAGGCAGTTTTTTATGCAAAATTATAACAACATTAGATCTGGATGTCACTCAGCTGAATTTTAGGTCAAAATGTTACAATATTTTTATAGCATTTATCGAACTGTGTGCAACTTTTTACTGCTAACTGTCTATACCTAAGCTTTGTWTGTACAGTATATGAAATGAACAAAGCATTCACAGTCACTTAGGCTGATTTTCAGATTTGCCATGCATAATCATCAAACTGTATGTGTGAAACGATGTAATTATCTTTTCTATTAGCAAATTGAAGCGCTTTTTATGACTGATCCGCGGATACTTGCCTGAAGCAGCATTCTTTTAAACGTTATTCCAATTTCAGCACAGCTAAATACTGTTCAGTGCTAGCTGATGTGGCCTTTTGGATTGTTTGATGAAATGAACAGTTTGATGTTTCAGTTTGTTGGTCTAAAACTAGCGACACGCCTTAAATTATGTTGTCATCTTACTCAGTTTTCAATTTTGAACTTGCAAGATGAATGTCATTTGTATTAAGATGTCTGACATTTTGGTTGTAGCCTGCAAATTGTTGTCAGGTCCAACGTGTGTGCATCAGACAGACGGATACTGAAGAGCCGGCGGTGAGTCGTAGAGAGGAGCAGGCGAGCGCCATTATCGCTGAGGTTCAGAGTGACAGGCAGGAGAGGCTTGTTGAATCAATAGAGGAACTAACGACAGGAAGTTCTCTCAGCAGCTGCATGAATCCACTCTACCTGTTCTAGTTTCCTCAGAAAACATCTACATGTTTGATTATTGCTGCAGTCTATAGCGTTATTAAATAGAATAAAGCAAGGACAGGGAATAAATACATCAATAAAGAATTTTAAAACTGAAATGCTTCCAATAGAAATGGTGTAAAAACAAAACTATTACCTTGGACATTTGTATGTGCAGTGTAAGGTGGCATCTGAAGGTTATATTATTTCTCACTGTTTAATCCAGTTTATGTTTCACCTTCTAGTTTGTGAGTGGTGCGCCACACCCTGCAGTCAAACTCCAGGGAGTCTCTGCAGTGGAACAGCAGGTGAAGCCAGAAACAGATTACTGAATGATAGCATGAACGAGACTAAAAAATAAAAAATAAAAAATATATGAGAGACCAATAAATTGGTGAAAGAAAAAGACAGACTGAGTGCAGACAGGAGAGGGCTGCATGGAGCCTCAGAGGGACAAAAGTATAGGCTCATGTATATTGTTAAAATTGGTGGCAATGGCAGGACATAAATCAACTCGACAGTCTCTGTTTCAGAYCACACAATTCTAAAATATCCACCAAAACTGCAACTTTGGTTTCTCTGTGTCTGGAGAATGTAGGCCATTTCACAGTATTACGAAAGTCTGTTTTAGTTGTTCTGGTATTGCTTTTTTGTTACAAGATTATATCTTGACAGTGAGCTGGATTACTTTTCCTGAGCCTTTATGGATACTTCTAAATATACCGAGCATTTTATTTTACGTGGAAGGTCAATGAACTAAGTCCAGTCTATGTATTTATCTTCATCCAGGTCCATGTTGACATGTCTGTCATAGATTCTGTACACACACACACTACAAACACACCAAGTGTGTAGAGTGTGCTGATCCTCCAGATGGATGGGATGGCCTTGCCTGTACTGATCACTGCCTGGGGCTGGTTTTCCCCCCAGACCCCTCCWTCTCTTTGCATCAGCTATCTGTGATTAGACACAAGCCTCAGGGGGAAAGACACTCAGATACACTCACTTGCAGACAATCAGGAAGCATTTGGCCACACACATACACCAATTTCTACTTCAGTGATTGTATGGAGTCATAAATTATGAAGTGCAAAAAACTGACTTTTTACCTTCTGCCTTGTTCATTTTAAACCCATTTGTGGGACATGTGAATGATAGCTAATTAAATGTCAGTTATTGATGATAGGTAATTACCAGCATTATTCAAGATAGTTGGTTCATTTCATTAGATGACTAAACTTAGTCTTTTTATGGGTTTTTGTCTTTAGATAATGAGTATTGTGGGGTGGAACAGGGCAGAATGCTGTCAGCCTTCACAGACTAACAGAATGAATTATGAAAGGTTTTGCAATGCCTCCAATATAACATCCACAGACAGAAATCAATGACCTGGAATGGGACTCCTCCAGCAGCTGCTGTACACTTACAGCAGAGAGCATTTCTTTTTTTATCTAGGGAAATTCTGCCACAGGTTGGGATGCAATTTAATGGAAGAAAAATTTATTGGCTGGAAGAAACAGCCCCAACATGCTGCCTCATACTGAGACAGAAGCTATAAAATATAGCTTTGTTGCTTTTAATTCAATGAAAGGCAAAGCCTGAAGCACTTAGAATAGTTATGTGTCACMTCTACGAATCATTGTTCATACAACATTAGCATTGATTTCTTATTTTCATTGACTGGCAAATCTTTCTTTACCYTTCTCTATGAAATACAATGACAAATCCATTTAAAGATTTATTATTATCAACCTGTTAAACTTTAAGWTCCATTCTTCAGTTTTGTCTCAATGACCACTTGGAACATCTAAAGTACTAAAAAAAAGATCTTCATTCATCTTGTGGGTGAATTTTTCATCATAAAGCAATGAATTATAGAAGTTCCACAACTGAACAAACCCATCAACAGGAAGGTCACAAGAGATGTTTGAATTGATCTGAAATCTAACAGAATTGTTAATCTGACATTGCCTCCAGTCGAAAAAATATCAATGTATTAGTCTGTATACACAACCACCACCAATTTAAGAGACCTTTATTATCATTTTGAGCTATATACAGGTAATGCAGAACTTAATGAAAATAAACAATCATCCACCAAGACCATGGTGCATACAGGACAACACTAGCGTAACAGTACTGGAGAGACCAGGGAGTCTTTCTTCAAAACACCAAGATGTTCTTGACTATTTCCACAAAGAACCTGACAACTTTAATAGAGAGTGGTCACTCTATTTTCTCCTAAAGTTAATGACCATCGTTTGTTTTGCTCAGGGGTAAGTTGACCTTGCAGCAGCTGTTACACCTCTCTGTCAATGATCCATCACTGTTGTTGATGAAACCGAACACGAAGGTGTCATCAGCAAACTTGATGATGTGGGCCGAGCTGTGAATTGCTGCAGATGTTGCTGGACCTGTTTCTTTGGTTCTAGACAGACTAAAGTCTGTTGGTTTTCCTGGATCTTTCTGCAAAGGGAGATGTGTATATTTGCGTYTGTGTGTTTTCCAAATCTGCCTTCAAGGCTTCACAAGTTTTGGTACTTCCTGTAAATGTATACAGACCCTGTGAAAGTTTTGTTTATCATTACAATATCTAAGTCAGTGCATTAAAACTAACTTCATACTAAAAGAGCCTTCACTATGCCTGCACACTGTTTCTCACTTCTGTCAGTCCCAGACATTGGGGCAAGCTGACTGATGGTTGCTGTCAGAGGTAAGACCTCTCTGGTTCTCTCTGGTTGGAATTATGGTCTGATGGAGCATGCAATGGGTCGTTCAATCAACTTAGAATAAAACGACAGGTGGAAACCCTTTTCTCCCTGCACCATTACTTTAAAATTGTGGTTGTGCATTGCTGTGCTTCAGCATTAGCCCATTCATCACCTGGTAACACCTATTACTCCCTGACATCAGCTGTAGTCAAAATGTAGTCGCGCACACTCAACCAGTATTGGTTAAGACCCAATTTATAACACGAACCTTCGTGCCACCAGCTCTCAGGACCTTTAATCAAGAAGTTAATGGGCCGTTYTTAAAAACAGCAAAGAGGGAAAATGTCTTTCACCTGCTGTGCAAATAGGCTGCCAAAACATGAGAAACGTGCAACAATGATAAAAAGGTTTATTTTTGGTTTTTATTTTGCTCTGAATGGAGATGCAGCTAGTTTAAACTTCTTCACAAAAACATTGGACATAAAAATCTTTTAAAAACTGAATACGTCAGAGGTTGTGACTATTGTAAAAGGAACAAAGAGACGTTCTATTCAGTAATCTGCTTCAAGCTCACTGACCTTTGTCTAATTTTTGACATTTAGACTTTGGATCATTTGAGCTTTTGCTGGAATGGAAACTGGAACATTTGATGGCCCATGATCATCTAAAGTACAACTAACTAAATGTACTCAGGAGTGTGGTAAAATAATTGAAAGATTCAAGAAAAGAACAAGTATTTTTAATATATACATAAATACTAAATTAGCATACTTGTTAAATGCTTTCTGTCACTAATTGTTTAATTATTATGTGAAATAAATGAAGCTTCCAGAGGCTATCAGACTTGTTTTCTGGTCTGAAGGTAAAGTTGACATGACAGAGTCTGCTGTTGAGGGCAAATGCCACATTACCATTGTTAATTATTCTAAAGATGTCATGGCTTATTGCTCTCCTTCTGTCTCTTCTCACTACCTTTAACCTACTGGTGTTTTGTTTTGTTTTTCTCTTGTCTTTTACTAATAATGTAAACTCTTCTATTCTCTGTGCCTTTTCCACTCTCTGTTTCTCTCCTTCATTTGCACATGTTCCTTCACAAACAAACAGCTCCACCCACTCCATCTCCTTACTAACACCCCCTCCACCACCAGCACTGACTCTTGGACCATCTCATTCTCTCATCTCCCCTCCAGTACAAAGCTACGCTTGTTCATCCTGCCCTTGCTCTCCACCCTGAATGGCTGATCAAAGCTGGGCTTCGCAGGCCTCCATGACAGCCTTTAAAGCCGTTCCAGTCCTGTTGTTCAAGCCATGAAATATTTACCAAGTGCAAGCACCTGTGCATGTGTACAGAATGTGCATGTATGAGTTAAAGCTGGCTTAGGCTTGCTTTGATGTCTATTTATTTAGAAAATGAGAAATTATTTCCCTTCTATGCTAACACTGTATATTTTGTTCATTTTTATTTAAAATAGGATGAAGAAAGAAGCTGCTAAAATAATAGCTGTGTAATAAAACACTAAAGTCTTGATGTTGTACCAGCTGTTTCAGCCAATGCCATCTACAAAAATGAGTATTGGAACATGAAACTTGAGCAAAATTCAGCAACAAGTACCTGATTTGGCTATTGTCTATGCTTGAACTAAAGATTAGTAGATACTGGCAACATGCGTGTGTACAAAATGGCCATTTGTGAGTTAGAATTGGGTTACATTGCCAATTAAATTTTTCTTTTTATGCAAGTCCAGTAAGTTGTCTTTATACACCACATTAAACTGAACATTTTGTCTTTGGAACTTGAGCAGTACCATGTAGCCATCACAGTTTCAGCTCACACTCACACTGCCAGACTTTCATTTGCACCATATTTAAGGAACCAGTTAGGATTAGCAACACTTATTTGCTCACTTAGTCAAGCCAATAGAGTTAAGTAGCTGAACAGAGCCAAGGATAAGCATCGGGAGACTGGTGAAAAATGGAAATGGACAGTTAAATATTTTTTTCAAATACCTCTAGTGTATTCTTCTAAACACATTTTCTTCACTTGTCTGGAAAACATTAAGATGACAGCACTAAAACACATGGGGAGAGACATCCACTTATTTATTTATAGAAATCTCATTAAGTATAACTGTTTGACAATTGTCGAGCATCACTGTGAGCTGGTGCACGGATTTCAGAACAGCATTATGTTCTTTTCTTTTGTAAGGAAGTTCCTGGACCTTATAGGCTGAGCACGATTATTAGAGAATATGCCCAGCCCTTGTTGAAGTTGCCCCTAATAATCTTATAATGTAATATTATTTGATTATTGTGTTTAACAATTCCCTATAAATACAGTTAAAGAACAGTGGTTTGACAACATGTGACGCACCTTTCTGGTTTACGATCACTGATCACAGTTCCATGTCCTGGAGCCTTTGAGTGGTTTTTCTACTCTACTTAATCATCACAGTTCCATGTGGTTGCTCTTCATTAGCCTGGTTAGGACCACCATGTGTGTATCTGTGTGTGTATGCATGAGGCTTACATCCTCGGAACATCTTGCCACGCGTGTACATCTATATCTGTTCAGGAAGTATGTGTTTACAGCGCTGAAGCCGCAGATCTTTGGGGCCATCTGGGAAACTGGCTGCTGTAATTAAATTTGATATGAAGGAAAGGATGGTTGGGGGGGGGGGGTCTAGCACAAAGTGGTGAGACAAGAAGAGGAAGAAGCACAAGGAGAGACAGAGGAAGAGGAGGTGAGAAACTCTAGATGGGATGAGGCTGAATAAATTTAGCAATGGAGGGAAGTGGTTCATGTAAGGCACACTCACTCCAGATGAAAAGCAACGTTTTGCAGAGGGCTACTCTGCCAAAATGTCTGTTAATCCAACTGATGCTGAGAAAACTTGTGCAAGAAACTCAGCAGCTATGTTAAATGGGTGTGTTGTTTCAGTGTGTTTTTGTGCTTTAAATCCAACTCGTGCTTTTATTGTGTGTCCTGCTGTGAGAGGGAGGAAGCGATTTACTGGAAGCTACTATTCTTCACAGCAGTAATAGAACGGCATGCAGATCAGCTCACCTGTCTATTGAAATGATTATAGATTTCTTAGCTCAAGCTCTAAACTGTCTAATGAAAGGCAATTATGGGATGAAGTAAATCCTTTGTGAGTCACCAAAACTAACGGCTCAGCATTTATTTCATTTTCAGTGACTAAAATAGCCTTTAATGTAGTTTATTTTTTCTTTTTGTTCAGGTTGCCTCCCTGGGCGTGACAACCTTCACCCTGTGCGCTCTGTGCATCGACCGCTTCCGTGCCGCCACCAACGTCCAGATGTACTACGAGATGATAGAGAACTGCACATCTACAACCGCAAAGCTAGCCGTCATCTGGATCGGCGCCCTCCTCTTGGCGCTCCCAGAACTRCTCATTCGACAGCTGGTGACAGAAGACATGGGAATCCCAGACGAGCCTCCGGTTGAACGGTGTATTATCAGGATTTCCACTTCCCTTCCTGACATGCTCTACGTGTTGGGCCTGACCTACGAGGGAGCTCGGCTGTGGTGGTGCTTCGGCTGCTACTTTTGCCTCCCGACCCTCTTCACCATCGGGTGCTCATTGGTGACGGCGCGCAAGATCCGGCACGCAGAGCAGGCCAGCGTGCGCAGCAATAAGAAGCAGATCAGGCTAGAGAGCCAGATGAACTGCACCGTCGTGGCGCTGGCAATCGTCTACGGTGCATGTGTGGTACCGGAGAACATCTGCAACATCGTCTCTGCGTACATGGCTGCCGGCGTTCCCGAGCAAACCATGTCCATCCTTCACCTTCTCTCCCAGCTGCTGCTGTTCTGTCGGGCCGCCGTGACACCGGCACTGCTGCTTCTGTTGTGCCGCCCCCTGGGCAGGGCCTTCCTGGACTGCTGCTGCTGCTGCTGCTGCAATCACGCGCCGTCCTCGGCCACGGCCAGCGACGATAATGAACATGAGTGTACCACGGAACTGGTGCTGTCCCCGTTCAGCACCATCCGCAGGGAGCTGAGTAACTACACACCCGCTGGCTCCAACTGCTGAACTGACAGTCCTGATCAGGGATCAGATTTTACTGGCTGGATATTTGCCTCTGGCTAGTGTTTTTATTCTCTGCTAGGAGAGATTTGCCTTACCTAGTTCACTTTAACTTCACTTGTGCACTCGTTAAAAAAAAATGAGACACCAAAAAAAGCCCTCATCAGCCATCGGCTCTACATCTTCACCTTTATTTTCCAAGACCTTTAGGAAAATCTTTTCACTTGTGGCCAGGAGTGCTATTTAAGCAGGAATGCATATTTTTAGCAATCCTGCCTGAAACCATTTTAAGACTAAACRATCCCTCTATAAGGGTTTGTATGCCAAACAGTAAGAAACAGCTGGTCTGATCAAAAATGAACCAGATTCTGAAAAAGAAAATATTTATTCTGTAAAATGACTGTACAGAATGTGAATCAGTAAGCGCAGTTTGTCAAAGAATTCCAAGATAAACGTCCTGCCGTCATGAGTAATATTCATTTTTGAGGAAACCCTGCACTATTTAGAATAAGGGAGAAAAAATCAATATTAATCAACTTCAAATTGTGCCACTTAAGGGAACGATTAACTATTGTGTGTGATTTCATGTTAACCAAGATACAGCATCCAGCGAAACATGTGGCCTCACACTGCCAGTAGAAGTACACAACCGTGTTTACAGACCACATCAGCTGCAAACGTACAGCTTCAACAGTATAATGYTGCACCTATGGGAACAAAGCTTACAATAATTAAAGCAGCGTAATGCATCTCAAAGGTTTGAGAGTTTACAAAAGAAAACTGTGGACAGGAAAACGCTTAGGTCTGTGTCTCAGAAATAACTGGAGCTGGTCTCAGACTGCTACATACGCTGACATAATGGGATTAAAAGGTTTTTAATGAACTAATTGAAGCTGAATTAGAGTTGAGAGACACCAAATGGAATCAAGTGAAACACCACAAATTGAACTGAATGAAGTGAATATGGATGGAGTGGTTATTATTAGCAATTAACTGAAAGGGATGGACAGAAGTAAAGAGGGATCTGCACTACACTGTTGTATTGTGTAACGCCTTACACTTTMGGGGGTGGGGGTTGTATATATACTGTGCACTGTCTTTGGTGCTCTTATGATGAATGCATTGTGAAGAACAAATCCATAGGTTCGACTTAGAGCCACAAGAAGCTCAGACYCATTGTTTGTTTCAGGTCAAGAAGACAGATTACAGTCATCTGTGACTCAAAAATCTGTAAACAGTGGAAAGATTAAATYAGAAAAAGCAATTCTTCATTGAGCTTCCACACACAGCTGAAGAAAACTAGCCTTAATTTAGATTAAGTACTACTTAGTAGCACTTTATTCTACAATCATTATTGATGTTTAAAGTCACAGGTAGCTTAGTTTTACATTTTATTACAGCATTACAAAAATTTATTCACTGGTTAATTTATTATTGCAATAATTACTTAGACAAATATTACACTGTAAATACAAGACCATCAAAGACATGTAAATATACGATAAATTATATATTTATACCAATGAATTCAGTATGAATACAAAACATAGTTGTAAATTATTTACCATTTCTGAACTGTAAAATAAAGTGCTACTTAAAGCAAGACCGTAACTGGGCTCCTCTCCATTAATAAAAGGACCAATCAGCATTTTTAGTTAAATGGTGCCTCTGACACTAGCTTTATAACTGCTCAACTATGTCATTTCAAACTTGTTGCATCACTGGAGGCTAAAAATGAGCTGTTTGTCTGTTTAAATCAAGGCCTTGTAGATTTTACTGGTAAATCTACTACTGTATTATCAAGAACCAAAAGCTCAACTGGCATTGCAGCAGGAGAGTGGGACTTTTACACCATTTAAAAACATGAACTGTGTTTGAATTATTCACTCATTAATAAGTGTCACTACAAAGGGAAATGTCAGGTGATTTTTTGGTTCACTGTCCAGAGTCGCATTGATTCAAACCATTAAAAAGCCTCATCTTCTCAGGATAACARTCTTTGTGTTCCTTTTATATTTAACACATATGTCTTCACTTTAATTGAAAACCATTTTTCTCTTTAACATATTGTTTAACAACTTTTGATGTGTTTAAATTTTACCCAGAATGCAATGCAGTCACCAGTAGTCCATGATTTAGTATGTAGAAGTTGTACTATACATGAATATCAATAGACCATCATGCACTGCTCTGGGTCAAAACGGCATGCTAATGCTAATATCTGCAGCTTATTACAGGCTCATTAAAAAGCCTAAACAGATTAATTCCCTCAGTGTCTCAACAAAGGTGACCGTCTCCTTTCTGACAGATGAAATAAATTGAGAAAATATTTTAAAAACCCTGTAAAGCTTAACAAAAATATTAAGTAGGTCCTCTGGATGGGTCCTGTAAAGCATGTTTTACTGTAAGTCTAAACAGTAAATATAAAAAGTGGGTTTTGCTACATTTGTACTTATACTGAAGCCTTTTATTTACACGTATAGTTATCCCAGCTACAATACTTGTTTAAGGAGACACAGATCAACTAATAAGTGTATCTGTGTCCTAAAATAATCTGTGATGTGACATTTATTACAACTTAGTCAAMAACTAAAATGGCTTAATTATGCTTTTTTATTTAAGATCTAGGCATGAATCTAGCTGTTTCCTGTTAAAGTTTATGTGGTATGTAATGGTAAATACCCAGCACATAATTATGACGTTACTTCACTCAAGTAGATGCAAAAGTCAGTGGCTACCCCAGTCTTTAACTTAGACCTCTGAATAGTACACTATTAAGACAGTGAACAGTTCAAACACAGTTTTTTGACTTCTAAAGCCCTTTGCAGTTTCATTATTTAGCTTTGAAACAGAACCAAGGATGTGTTTTTCACAGTGCATACATTTACAAGTGTATTGTACTGTAAAACTTTTTTCTTACGCCTGCTGATCATACCTGGGTCAAAGGAGGGTCAAATCAAAATGTTATGTATTGCGTTGGAAATGTTTGAAATTGGACAGAAAACCTGAAAGAACTGACTCAAACTGTGCAATTATTTCTGGATTACTAAAGTGGTGAACTCTGTCATGACCCAGGTTTGATGTTCATCGGTTTACTGTATATTCCTTGCATAGAAATCTGCACTGCCAAACACCTTTTCTCTGTCTGTTTCTTGCGCTCTTGTGGTAGTAGCACTCTATCTCTGGGAGCCTCTCTCAGCACGGAAGCCAGCTTACTTTTAGCCTCATCGTTACGAAGACGAATCATAAATCTGCRGCCACCCTTTGGCTCTGATGAACTCTGCATAATGAGCTCGAAGAGATCTGGGTGGATATAGCCTGTGGTTGGTGCTGCCTGCCGTTCATCACGTTAATTGCTGAGATTTGTCAGGTAGCAGCATTGKAACACAACACCCTGCAGCCTGTTGGACGAGGCTTTTTGTTACAATCACTATCAGTGTCATTATTGAGAGCTAATGCGCAAACCCCACCTGGGGTCTCAGTGTTTACAGCACAACACTGGCGCTGTGGAACTGGTTACTATTATACATGTTTTTATACCTTAACTCGTTTTTCAAAATCAAATTAATTGAGTCCCGATGAGACTAATGCAAACTGGCTTCTGATTGCTTCTTTTCTGCATCTTTCTGGAAGTATAGCTCATAAATGGCTCAGTGTGTAGTAATGTGGTTAAAATATTGATGAAGTGAATCTTGTTAATCAGTGAGATGTTTCTTCAGATCTTTATGATTATCCCTCCTCACTCTGAGCTCAGTGTGTTTGTATTTGATACCTGAACATGTAAGCACACAACCACTGTTGTCTCCAAGTCTAGTCACTGGTTTCTAAATAGCTTTTTATATAGCCAAAAAAATCATCCTTTTGTTTATCGAAGAACTTTATCTTGAAAACTGTATATTAAAATCCTAAATGTGCTGCAGTGGAAGGGGTTTTGTGGTTTGTGCAGCTAAGACCAAAAAGAGTGCAGCTTTTAAGGATGAATCATCTGGATTTTTTTCCCCACTTCTTCATAAATATAAATTAAAAAATGTAATTATTGCAATGCCAAAGTAATTCTTATAGGGATATTGCAAAAARGTTTTAATTTTTGCAGGCAGTATGATTGCAATGATGGGTAAACGAAGTACAATATTCTTAAAGTGGTTTACCAGCTTACTATTAAAGAAAATTTGAAGATAAACCTATCTGAGATATTACAGAAGACTTGATAGCTGACAGCTAAAAGACATCTTTAACAAATTGCTAAATTARCTCAAACCATTTCTATCAGTCAAACTCGGAAATCAAAAGTATCTAAAACTCACTACCATATATTTAATATTCTCCARTTGACTGAACCTGCAAACAGCAGGTCAAAGAGCCTGCTCTACCTGCTTCAGTGTTTAGATCGCTTCTGCAAACTTTCTCATCAATAATGAAGAATAAACCACAGGTGATGGCATAAATATCTGAAATAAAGTTGGAATCAAAGCTTTCTGACAAGTTCCAGAAGAAAAGAAATTGTTTTGTATTTATATGATGGTTTACAATCCAATTAAGAAAACAAACTGGGTTATTTAAAGCTATTATCCTGGTAAACAATGTCAAATACTTACAAAAATTTACTGCAAAAAAAAGTTTCTTTCTACTCAAAACATTTTTCAGACAAAAGAAGGTTTGGAGAACAATRAAAAGATTGGGGTAATTTTCATGACATTTATTAAGCTCTAATTGGTTCAGATGTGAACAAACATATTTACGTGCAGTTTTCCAAAGGTTTGAGGCATTAGGTAAATAAATGACTCAAAAGTTCTGGAAATAAAAACTTGGCTTGAATAAAATCCTGTTAACAATGAAGATCTGGTACTTATAGTTGTAGTAATKTGAGTTTTGGCCTATATTCAAGAGACAAAGTGTTTCATTTAACTTCAGAAAAATAAATAATTTTCTTTTAGTGCTTTCTTGTAGGCTTTATTCATCAGTTTTGAAATGAGACTGACACATTTTTTCTTTTTTTTTTTTCTTTTTTTTTTACCTCAGAGTCCTCAGAATACAACATCCGTTGATGGAAATAGACGCAACTAAAAATGAACAGTTAAAAATAGCCCAAACAGAAACTAATCTTTTWGCTTGAATCTGTAAACCTCAAACAGAAAAAAAGGGTGTCAGTGAAGCTGAGGACTTGTGAAGCTATTATGTGAAGGAGAAAATAGGATGTGGTTGTCATTAGTGTTAAATCACATCGGTAACAAAGCACTGAAGTACTGAGCCTAACCTGTGCCAGGTGAGGTCTCAAACTGGACACTGTGGACTTTCTCCACGGTTTATTGATCTGATTCACTTTGCAGAAAAGAGGTGTGGATTAAAGATAACTGATATGACACACACCCTATCAACTCCTGTAAAAAGAGATCTAAAGTCCCCTTCACACTTGACGACCTGTTACACTTTCCACAATCTACACAACCTAATAGAACAAGACTGGTTGCAGCAAATTTGGTRAACTCCTAAAGGCAGTGCTATGTAATAAGCACACAAATTGTTTTTTCTCAGCAATTTTCCTCACCATGTTCTGTRTGTCTTACCTTATCTGACTGAATCAGGATGTACGGGTATCATGTCTACATTTAGTTGGTTTAACCTTCTTATTATCTCACTCAGCCTATAGACATAAGCCTACAGGTCCATGCAGACTCCACTATGTGGATACTCTGTCACCATGCTCCCCTCAAACTCCATGCAGGAACCCAATATCCTGCCACCATGATGATAAACCACTATGACCTTGCTGCAAAAGTTTGGTGCACGCTCAAAACCATTGTGGACCCCTCACACTTAATTGGGAGCCTACTGCTAAAGACCACCCACGTTCTGGCTCCTCTATTGTTGTAATGAAGTCATCATTCAGTCTGAATGGGGACTAAAGCAAAGATTAATAAAACAAATTTAAAGACTTGTTAAAAACAAGTGTTTTTTTCTTTTTGTTAAATCTTAGCCAAAGTATGCCAGAGGTTTTATTAGGACCTAATACTGAAAATTAACTTCACTTTGGACTCAACTAATACAGTACAGATAGTATCACACTGAGCTGTGATTGTTGGGGTCTCCCTGGCAGGACCAATGAAGCTCCCTATAGGCAAGTTTTCAGGTGGCACCCTTTGTGCGGTTTCCTAACTCCCTGCCAATTTACACACATCCACATACTAATTAAATAGTTTTGTCCAATTAACATAGTTAAAAACATTATTTATTTTGAAATATCCTTTGCAGCATATAATTCAATTCAATTCAATTAAAATTAAAAAAATATATTAATTTCATTTAAAAAATAAAATAAAAAAGTCACATATGATGCAGAAATTAAGAAACTAAC